ATTTTGATATTGAGACGTCGTCATGCACTCGTCGCCAAATATCGTGATCATTACACGCATTTAGAATGGTCAACGGATGAATTATGTAAAACGAAATTAATTTTTTATGAACAAAAAGGATCGACGATCATACGAGATAATMATAATATACKAATGCAATGTAGTTGAGTGTGCACCGGARAAATTACTCGTATGGCGCAGTGGGGTGGTGCTGAATGAGCTCAGACTTATTTGATGATCGGGTATTCAAATTATATTGAACGAGTAGTGAATAAAAAAAAATACCTTTTTTCTTTTGTGACGTCAGTCCAGATAGAACTCTCAATTTTAACGCTGTGATGTGTGAATGTAAACATATTTTTGTATGGAGTTTAAATCTATGCTGTATTATACGTTGTAAAAACGGCGATGGGCACCATCATCCCGATGGCGTGTCCTCGTTAAATATTTGCGGGTGCTCCTGCAAGGCAAATATAACCGTGGCTGGAAAAGCGCACGGCTGAACCTGTTGCTCGCCATTTCTAGTCAATTGATATTGAACACGCGCTTGTGTGTAAAATTGCAAATCACCTAGCTATTATATAGGTTCAACCTGGCTGTTTAATTTTCTTTTATAAAAATTGTTGGAGATTTAGAATCATTTTATGATCGTATATCGATTGAGCATAAAGTGGTATGTATATACTGTAGAGGAAATTATAATTCGTGTGATTATATTACGATGATGATGTGACTGATGTGAGAGTACCTATATACCAAAAATGGCCAACTTGTGACTCGCGTCTTATGAAAAAAAACCAATATTTATTTACTAACGATAAAAAACGATAAAAGTATAAAAATTATAAAAGGTATTTATAAACATTTTGGTTCTTGATATAATTGTGTTTATCTATGTGGCTCGTGGACGTATTCATGTTGGCCACTCCTGCTATATATACCTACATTATTGCAGTGGTGTACTGAGAGGTATATACTGAAAGGTATTCGTTTCTATAGATTTTTTATTAGTGTGTATTTATACTATAGTACGACGAGTATCTATATAATTTATTATAATATGGTAAAAATAGAWTGTGCCATAAAATATCGACGAGTGGCTACATTATTTTAAATTTTTCATTGAATTTTCATATCTTTTGCATGAGMAAGTATCACAATAAATTATAAATATACACAAAACACAAACAAAAAAGATATTAAGCACTTGTATCTGATAAGTGATGGTCATAATATAAGAGCAGCAAGAGATAAAAATTGTTTGATTTAGTGATAGGATTTTTACTATTGTCATGGATGACTTATCGTTCATCACACACCTAACATTTTTGGGAGAGGGAAATTGAAAAATCTATGTATACCTWCCCAYGAATATTTTTACTTTTTAACAATGTACCTATGTACGAGTACATTAGTTCCAACTAGCTATTAGAGAATTTTACAGTAGGTCGTTGAGTTGTCGTCGTGCAGGTGTGCATCGATAATACGCGTGTAATGGAGATGAAAATGTGACCTCGTTTTTAAAAACCGCCAAAACACATAAAATCACAACCAACTAAACAAACAATAATAGTCCAGTTAATAGTTATAATAGCACACGTTTTCATAAACTCTATTAGTTAAATAATATTGCCATACACAAGTAAAATAATTTATCACACTGTGTTATAATATTTAACGTTGTTATTGTATACTGACGAGGGTATTGTCATAACTATTAACGATCATTGATTTTTATGGCACTTTGGTAGGTGTCTTACTGATTTTAATATAACAAAGGTGTTGACACCATGCGACTAAATAGGWACCTATTTGGCAAGCATTGATATTGTTTATTATGGTGCGAATTACTCGTACAAGCAGCGTTGATCACGCATTTATAAATATGTAACATGGTATAGRTAATAACAAAGACTTGCGGTTATTCGTGGCGTTTGACTGTGGTTGAGCTTAAAACTCTCGTTTAAAATAAAATATGAAAGTATTATTATTTAAAGTTGTAATTTATATATATTTGAGCACAATATTGTAATGTACTGTTCGAGTGGAATACTTGCTACGAATATCAAAAAAAAAAGAAAAGAAAAAAAGAGCGTCTAATTCTTATTTTTTAACCGTGTGTTTCAGGACTTGGCCACATCGAGGGACCTGAATAGCCAAAATCGGTGGCCGTTATGTGCTTGAGCTTCACGGCGGCAGCGGCGGCCGAGACGCAGCATCAATAGTGATCGACGGTGGGAAAGGGAGGGGCGCGCGTGCTACGGCGATAAGAGTCGACCGCGGGGGGGCACTCGGCGGCGCGGCGATGACGCGGCCACGTCGGCGGTCAAAGGTCGAGGTGATAACGACAGCTGYGGTGCACCCAGCAGCAGCGGCAGAACCGAATCGAAAACCATCGCGGCACCTCGAACGCGATACGACAGTGTGACGGCGTTGGGCGTGTGGCTCGAAACATAAAACGGTTCACGTTGCCGAAATATATCGTGATCCGTCCAAAGACGACGACGACGACGATATAACAACAGCAAAAATAATAACAACGATAACAAAAACGACAAAAATTATAGTTGCAACATCTGTGGAAAAAAATTTAAGCATAAAACAATTGTATAAACACTGTCGGGTGGCGGGAGGGCGCGGCGTAGGGCACTTCGCCGCCGCCGGTTTGTCAGCGACGCGTAGCAGCAGATCCGATGCGTCCGGCGCTCACGCCGCCGCCGTTCGTCAAAGCCGTCTGCAGCAGCTTTACCACCGCGTCGTGTTCTCATCGGACCAGCCGCAGCCGCAGCCGCAGACGCCGACGTATCCGTAACGACAACGCACTGCCACCATGAAACTCCGTGATCGAGTGGTGATCGGCTTCTGCCTGTCATTAGCACTAGTCACCGTGCTCTTCGTGGTCGACCTGCAGAACGAGAATGTCCGTCGGCAGGCCGTGATCGTGTCCGACGACGACGGTACGTCACATTTCCACGGCCGGTCTGACCGGTCCCGGGACGCTAACGAAGCGCAATCCGCCTGGAACGCGGCCACGTCGTTCATCGTGTCCACGCTGATGCCGTCGAGACAACCGGCGCAGCCAACGCGTCCCGGCGCGCCGCAACCTTACCCGCACACCGCCGGCGAACGCCCGAAGCCCGAGGTTCCCGATCTGTACGCCGCGGATAGGTTCGCTGATCTCACCGAGCGCCTGTCCCGATCGTCCGAATCACGGTGGCATCGCGGCAAAGTACCCGACTGGACGRTGGTTCGGGACGTGATCGTCGACGACACTGTCGTTGACGGGACCACCAGCAACGAGTACATCGCCGAGTATTTGGAAGACGGTTTGCGGTAAGTGTTAAGAACGCTAAAATACTTCCGTACAATATAATATTATTCTTTATCTGTAGTACCCATAAACAAACATGGGAGGTGAGATTCTTGACGGTTCAACAACCCTACACTGTGAAATATTTTATAAAAATATGTAAACACTTATATTATAAACCACTGTAGGTAACGTTAAATTGACAAAATTTTATTTGTTAAAACAATAATATTCTTTTTTTTACTTATGAACCTCCCAGGAATCGTTTTTCTGACCAGGTACCTTATACTTTAGTCATTCTGTAATAYATTTTATTCATATCGACACGTATTATATACGTCCGCACAATACCACACTAYACCACACAATATAATACAATACTACATAATATTATAAAACTGTATATGATATTGTGTTTGAATATGATAATATTTTACAGTAGGTTTTTGCTGCGCGTCGATAGCTTTTTTT